TTGTCCCAACATTCTGTATCTCAAACATAGAAATAAGAATGAGAGAAAAACTTCTGCCATTTTTACAGTAACATAGAGACAAGATGACCAAAGAAGAAAAAAAAGGCAATTTCAACAATGAGTGAATGTCCCAAACGGCAAATAAAGATTAAAACAATGACTTATTTCGAAAAAGGCGAAATGGTTTTATCTGACCACATGGACATAACACTTGTTCTTCCTACTTCATCCACAAACTGTTCGAAATGTTTTCATATAAATCAATGTGTGTATTGGGAGTTGTTTGGTGATTACGGATCATTCTTGGAAGTCCAAAAGTTTTCGATTGTAACAAAATTTTATATTTTTGTGGAAATTCAATGTCTATCAATTAAGAAATTGCTGAAAAAATAGCCAATTGAATGACATTTATATCAACAGAAGTTAATAAAGTCGGCATTGGAACAAGAGACCTTCATCACGAACTTAATGTGATGAGAGGATAAATCACACAACGGAAAATAAGAACAAGAAGATGGAAAATCAAATCAATCTGACTCATTCCTCGTTCTTTTACATCGAATTCTTCCTCTTTCTCACATGTCGATATCGAATCGGTCGAATAAGTTGACACTTGACATGGCTTGATGTAGAAAGTAAATGTGTGGTGCTCTCATGTGGTCATGTAACATTTTATGAATCACATTTGAATGAAAATCAGTCTGGTTTGAAAAAGCTTTTTGATTATGAATGTATTTTTTTTATATTTTTTGAGCTGTGATTTAAAGATTGTTCACAAATGACGTCTAGCATTGAGAGTGTCAGAGTAGAATCTCAGGTATTGAACTATATGCAGACAAATTTGTCAGTTCGAGAGTAACGCAAGAGGTTACGCACCAAACAAGGATTCAAGATGGTGTGGGTTTGAATCCTCCCAGAATTCAATCGAATCCTCTCAGTGCTATCGATATGACCACGAATTGAGACTATTTGAATCAAATGCGTTCAATACTGCCTTCCGTACCCACCTCCTGACCTTTATTCTTGTGCAACATAAATTCTCTCAAGTGGGAAAAGTCGAAGTAAGTCTTTGCATGAAAATGTTAATTCAATATTATAGAAATGGATATAAGAAGAAATCCAAAAAGAAACTGATTTTTCTCAATGGGGACATTTCAATGCTGAACAAGAAACAAGAGCTCATCGGAAGATGAACGCACAAAGCACATATAAATGAGCAAGATGTCTTCAAAAACAAAATAATAAGAATCATAGGAAAATCATAAAGTGAATTTAGATTGAGAATTTTTTTTTGTAGGGGCAATTCGAATGGTATGTCGAGTTTAGAACATTTTCTAAAGACATCGCAAGACATGTGGAAAATGAACTGCCAGCTTAAGTTATTCATAGAATTCTCCATGAGATACTTGGAAGAAATCTTTCAGAAAACACATCATATGTATGTGTGGGAGCTGTAAGTCCATAGTGGATAAACAGTAAAGGTCATGATGTGTAGGATGTGATTTGAGGAATAGTGTCAAATTTCATTAGAACGATGAGTTGTCATACAAACTGAACAAGGCACAGGCAAACACAAAAAAGACTATCACGACTTGAAATAATTGGAGCTATGAGCCATGAGTCGGAAGTCAAGGGAATACATTGACTTCATCTTGACTCATAAATTCAGCATTGTTAAGCCTCTCACTGAGTGGATGAAGAAGCAAGAAATTTTCTTTATGTTGTAAGAAGATTACGTCACTTAAGCCTATATACTACTACAGAATTCGTTCATCATATTGAGGAACATTGTTTAATCTTGTTTTCTTTCGATAGGTTTATTCCACCTTTTTGCGCTGAAGAACATGACTGGCAGTGCTCGTCAATTCTTATTTTTATTGGCAAATGGTCTTTTTCTATGTTTTTTGGTTCAGAAATTGTGAATTGAAGTTGGTAAGTGTGATTGAGACTTTGGAGTCTAATGGGATTCGAACCCAAGTTTGATATGATATCTATCAGATTCATTGTCAACCATAACACTACAGATAAGATTTTATATCCGACTTTTGTTCCAGCAAAAAGCACTTAATGTGGCAAATTAAAGTTCAAAATATTCTAATGCTTAAAGTCCTTTATTCCTCAATAGAATGTCACTTTAACTTTCTTAAAACAAATAACAATCCAACAAAATGTTATTTTCTTCTCTTCCACAGACGAATGCTTGTCAGAATAGCAATTGTAAATTTATTGCCGTCTATCGAGACTTTCGACAGGCCAAATGGAAAATTATTTTTCCGTTCTTGTCTTCATCTGTTCTCTGTTTCTGCAATTCTTCTTTCTTCTCGTTCGATTGAATAAAAAATATTCAGTTAATCAATATCTTTAGTAAACTTCACTTCAATAGTTCAATTTGTTATTGTATTCAATGAAAATCTTTTTATGTCTGCAGTATGGAATGTTGATGTCTTATCGATTACTTTATTCTTTCGAAGGATGAAGCTAAGTTTGGAATACTTGTGAATTTGATGGTGACGAACGCAGTTGTAAAGTTTGCATGAGTTTGGATAAGTTTTGAACACAAGAAGTGATTCCAGGACGCAAAATCAGGAAAGTATAATCAAATTTCTTCATTTTCATCCAAAACATCCAGTAAGATACATCCTAACATCATCCAATACCTTCCCAATTCCTCTCAAAAATTAGAACAAACCAAAATACTCTTATCAGCATAAAAGAAATTCCTTCAATGATAACAGAATAGCTTCCCATTCCTCTTGTTCCATTTGTAACACACCATAAATTATTTTCAACTCTTCCTCCTCATCCTGTCTACGGAACAACATTAGATTTAAAAGAAATGATAGTCGCTCTTGTGAGGAAAATGAAATCGGATAGACATGCATCTCTTGCTGTGAGAATGAGTATGAATGTGTGCGTTTACAGCAGAAATGAGGAAGTAAAAATAGGAGGAACATGAAACTTTCTCCAAGTTCTTCTTCTTCTTTTCATTTCTTGTGTTTCACTGATAAGCACATAAAATAATTCTTTTGTTGGCAATAAATTAATGGTTAAATGTTGGAATATTCAAGGCAAACACTTTACTTTTATTAAACGGTCCTTTTATGAAGGAATTGCTGTTTTGATGGGATTAATTATTTTTTGGGAAAGGCGGTTTGTCATTTGGAGACTGGAATCAATTTGGTGACATGATATGAGGAGCCTAGTTAAGATTCATGCTTGGTACTTTATCCGACGACCTTTAGGATGGAAAAAATTTAATGCTGCCAATGATAGCTCGAACTCTAGTGCTAGCTCAAGTCTTCGCTCAGGTAAGTAGGTTGTCCTAAACCTTACTCAATCTTAAAACATACACCGAGTGTATCTTTTAAGTGCCCTATGATCACATATATAGCATGTAATGGAAATAGAAGTCTAAATCTAAATGAAAGTTCCCAAAACATTACTTCAAAAATATGCGCCTACCCAATTATTCATCACAGTGACTATCCCAACTTCCTCTCTTTTTTTTCCTTCCTCTACTTATAATCACATGAGGTGAATATCTCATTAAATTTTCATGGCAATGAACAAATTTTTTTGTATGTTCGCATACAAAACTAAGAGAAGCGAGCACATGAAGCAGGCATCAAGCGGAAGGAGCTTGCAGAAGAGAAGAATTAATAATTAACTGCCTTGAATGAGAGCGAAAAAAGGGTTTGTTATAATGAATGAGGTCTTTTTAGAGCAACGACGACTAATTGATGATATTTTTTCTCGTTCCTTAAAAGGACGACTGTATGTCAAAAAAGAAAAACATAAAGCAGGTAAAATAAACTCAAGCGATTCATAAATGGCGACAAATTTTCTGTAATGATGCTTTTTTGATCTTTTTGTGGTTTCACTTTTCATGTCTTTTTTTTCTCGATGAAATGAGTTGACTGCTTCTTCATCCTCTATGGACTGAAAGCATATAACGAGCTTGAAAGTTCTCATTTGACTTTATTTTTATTCATGTTGTGTGGCAACTGAATGGGGACACAGTGCAAGATTGTGAGGGCAGTAAATGTCAATGAACAGAAAACATACAAGTAGGGGAGTTATTCGAGTGAGTTGATAAAGCGCATTTCTTTGGAGACTGTATTTTTTGCATTAATCTGTAAAATTGAACGATTTAGAACATTCGTTGCATGATTTTTTATTTATTTTAGGGAAATCAGATCAATCTAGATGGATTTTATCTCAAAAACAAAAATCTTCCACCTCGAAAAGTGATTTGTCGAAAATTTGAGCTTAACTAGCTTATTAATATGGTTCTTTGTTATAATTCTCTTAAAAAAAGTGGCACCGACTGAAAAACAATATTTATGAATTTAAACTCCTCCCTAATTTCTTAAACCCCCATTTAAAGATGATAGAATCTCCACCCCCTACAAAACCCATAACAAAAATACATCAACAACCTGCCTGATTTTTTTCATGCTTACAAGATATCAACAGAACAAAATGTAAACAAAAATTTCATTTTCATCACCAAAAATCAAGATAACAATGAGAAGGAATGAATGAAAAGACGGATGGAATTACAACCATTTTGATGATTTTTCATCAACATTGAGTTTGATTGATGATGAGACTTTTGGGGTCATTTTAATTGGATTATATCCTTTTTGAGCCTCTCTCGCTTGTTTTTTTACTGTTATTATGTACTTTAGTTCTCTTTTTGTTTTCTGTGTGACAAAATAAGTTACAATATATGTGGAGCTTGTGCTCTATGGCTTTTGTGGTTTTGATACTTTTTTTTGTGAATAGTTACGTTTTTTCCTTATTTCAGTTGGAATTGCTATCTGAATTGAGGTTACTTTGTTGAATTTAATTATTTCGTTTTTTTCGATTGACAAAAAAGGCTTTTGCATGTTGAAGGAAGAATCATCACAGCAACCATTGAAAACTTTTCTTTTTTGTCATTCACAACTTTTACAAAATTTTAAGTCCCACCACAGCAGTTATTAACCTCAATAAAAATGCTGAACATATTCAAGGATCGTCGAGAATATGTGAAATTAAAGCATCACCTGGAGAGCACATTTGAAGAGCAATATTGGGCAAAAGACAGCTTGGCAAAAGCATTTTCAACTAAATTGAAAGGTGAAGCTTCAAACTTAATAATCATCGGCCCAAAAGGTTAGCAGAACTATAAAATTATCTCTTAAAATATTCTCATTCTCCTTTTTCTTTAAAGAATGCGGAAAAAAGTCAATGATTGTAGAAATTTCGAAATTTCTTCACGTCCCAATTCTTATCATCGATGCACATGAGATGAAAGCTTATACGTTCAATCCAGAATATTATATTTCAATGAAATTGCTGGAACATTCAAAGAATGATATTGAGAAAGCATCAGCTGGAATTGTTGTGTTATGTAATGTCAATCATTTTCAATTGGAACTTCAAAGATCTATCGCAAGGCTTATGAATGGTTTGTATTTTGATTTTCAATACGAAGCTGAGATTTGAGTGGGAAAAGGGTTGATTGTGGATGGGTTTGTCTTGTTTCTGATTGATTTTGAGCTGTTTTAATTTCAATTGAAAATGTATTTTGAGGTTAACTTTTAAATCAGTAGACTAAGATCTTTCAAACTATTTAATTACCATCCCTAGCAGAAATTTACTAGTAATTTACTGGATAACTTTCCATTTGCTACTTGCTATTTACCAAGTTCAAATCTTCGCCAAAGACCCGTATTTTCACTTGCTAATTGACTAGTCAATTTGCTTACAATTTAACTAGTAATTTACTAGCAAATTTGTAAAAAAATTAAATGAATATAACTGTTGATTTCCATGTGTTCTTTTAATTTTTCTTATTTGTGTAAATTATTGTAAAAGTATTAGTGTGTACTTAATTAAAGTACACAATCAGTGTACTTAATTAAAGTACACTATCACTATGAAAAAAATAAAAGACTTAATTTAATTAAGTCGAACACCGATGAACGCCCATGACTCGGACGCAAACCTGAGAAAGATAAATAATTAATTGAAAGTCACACACAAATTTGGATCGATCTTATAAAGGTGATTTCTGCGCGCTCTTGTGAAGTATATGACAAATGCCAAATTTAGAACAAAATTTTTTATGACGCAAACAATTCTTTTTTTTGATGATTTTTCGTAGGTTTCGAACCTAAGCAGATTTGATCAAACATTTCACATGGTAATTTGCTATTAATTTGCTATTAAATAACAAGTGTAATTTACTAATAGTAAGTTGTTTTAATAATTACTAGTAAATTGCATGTAGTAAAATAGAAAGACTAGCAATTTACTAGTTGGTCTCGCTAGGGCATCCTTGCCACTTTTTTCTATAAGAAAAAACCACAAATTTCATAAGTTTCTCATTTTAAGCATGTCAAAAATCAAAAAAACTTTTTGAAGTGAGAGCATTTCGACTCTAGATTAAACTGTGAATTTTAAATTCTAGAAATACGTTATTGTGTCAGAAATATTATCGTTTTGAAGGATCTAAATAGATTTGGATGCGCTCTAATTGCCAAAGAACTTTCAACAACCTTTTAAACTGAATTCTTTGCATTGCTTTCGTGACACAAATATTTATATTTTTATCGTAATTTTTCCATCAGCGTGCATGATGTACTAAAGAATCGGTGCCCTGCTGAGCTCATCGATAAGAATTTTAGTTTTGAAAACGTTATGTTTATTGGAACTATTGATTGCGATATTGAGGGAAAGATTGCCAGACGCTTTGTGCATGATGTCATTGAAAGGAAAATCGATAGATCGAATGCTATTAAAATTGAAGATTTGTTGAAATTGAATGTGTGTCAGGTGCATAGAAATACTATCAATATAAAAAATAGCAGAATATTTTATTGGGATGGCAAAAAAAGAGTCGAAAGAAGAAATTGCATCCACACGGATTCGTAATAACTTCTTTTATGCTTTCTGATGAGTGCATTTGCTGATCGGTTTTGTTGATAAAAATTGTATGGAATTTTTTTTTGAGGTTTGTGAATTTGTCAGATTGTACAGGTGACATTTGTCATTCTACTTTTTGAAATAGCACAAAACATTTAAAGCTAGAACTTGCTTAACAAAGCTTTAACTCAGTTGCAATAAGCAGTTGTGGTATAAACAGTCATATGCTAGAATATGTGGACATGCAGACAGACCAACAAAGAATGAGCAATAGCTACTCGATGTGCTGGATTAACTTAAACTGCTCAAAGCTATTAATTCCATGCCTATCTAAAAATGCACTCATTTCATTCCATTTATACATCCTCTAGAACTCTATTAATCAATTCCCTTTTATATTCCATCCACATTCACAGGAACTAGCTAAATTATTCAATTTCACAGCACCATTTCACGCAAAATATCATCAGATACTGCTCACACCATTCTGCCAAATTTAAGGGAACGAAAGCAAGCTGAGTAAATAAACAAAAAGCAATGATGAGAACAAGAATGGTATGAGAAATAACTTTTTTTTTGTTGCTACTGTTTATATACGACGTGATTATGAAATGACCTTACAACATTCATTATCGCACCTCTCACAATTTATTATTATGACAATAACTAAAGAACATTAAAGTTGGATGGAAATGAACACGAATTCTAATTAATCAGTAAAATTGATAAGACACGCGAAATAACATCGTAAAAAGTTACTTCTTCTTTTTTCCTTCGCATCTACAAAGTTTGAGCCTTGGAAATTATTCAGAGACAGATTTTTTTGGATGCTCATACTTAATGCTTTTAAAAGGGAGGTGGAGGGAGTTTAGTATTGATGTCACTCAAATAGTAAGGTTCAAATTTTTTTAAGGAATAAGGGAAGGGGAAACGAGCCACAAATGAGGCACATAAAGGGGATAACAACCTATTGGGAAAAGGTTTTTGGTGGAAAGTTGACGTCATTTTTAATGGACCCTATTCATGTTTATAGTTCTGTTGACTTTTTGTTTAAAAATACAATTTTTGAAGCTTTTTTAAAGCTTGTCATTCAACAGCTTTGTAGCTTTTTTGCTACATTTTCACTAGATTTAATTTATGTGAACTTTATGTGTTTCTAGACTGTAGCGTTGATTTAAAATCACAGACTAGAAATGAAGTTCGTCCTCATTTACATGCCACAATCTGCAGAATATCTGCATTATCTTACTTCCTTTATGTCCTTAAGTTTCGAAGTTAACAAAAAATTCAATTCCAAAATCTCATTTTATAACTCATTTTTCAGAAAGCACTGAAAATCTCCACCAACTCAAAACTGATCAGAATTATAAGCCAATAAATCCCATTTCCCATACACGTGCATGTGTGTCTCTGTCAGGATGTGTTCCTTTAAGCATGAAACAGATACCATTTATTGCCATTTCTTTTCATGAAAAATTCCTTTTTTTTAATACACATGAATATTATGTTGTGGCTTGACTTCCTACTATGAATGTCATAAAGCAAACATGGAAGGTTGAATGAGAGCAAAAAGGTCACGTCAGGGGGAAATTTACTCAGCCTAAAAATTTTTTTGAGTAAAAAATTATTAAAACAAAAGCGTAAAAAAAGAGCAAAAAGTGTAAAAAAAGAGTAAAATGTGTAAAAAAAAGAGTAAAATGTGTAAAAAAAAGAGTAAAAAGTGTAAAAAAAAGAGTAAAAAGCGTAAAAAAAGTGTAAAAAAAGAGTAAAAAGTGCACTTTTTACTCTTTTTTTACGCTTTTTACTCTTTTTTTACACTTTTTTACGCTTTTTACTCTTTTTTTACACTTTTTTTACACATTTTACTCTTTTTTTACACTTTTTACTCTTTTTTTACGCTTTTGTTTTAATTATTTTTTACTCAAAAAAAATTTTAGGCTGAGTAAATTTCCCCCTGGGTCACGTTAAATTTTTTTACAGCTATTAAATGTAAATTTATAATAACTTTTCATATCTTAGATTTTTCTCTTTTTTGTTGTTGTTGCTTTGGATTATTTAGTGTATGGATGTCCTCTGCTTTGTATTAAAAGAAGGAATTGTAAGTGAATAAGATGGTGAGATAGAGGCTAAGTTCATCCATAAATTTTGAGAATAAGGAGAATAAATGTGTACTTTTAAGATTGGAAGTGATGTATGTAGCGCATTTTGATAGGTTTGGGTGGATTTGAATGAGTTTAGGCAGCTTTAAATGTGAAAAATAGCAAATTCATCCTATACCTGACTAAACTTCTTTTAACGGTTATCCATGAGTGAAGGCAGGGGCGTAGCCAGAAAATTTTTTAGGGGGGGGGGCCCATTTTTAAAAATTAAAAACTCGTTATTTTGTATCCTTAAATCTATATTCATTCTTCATAAGTTTAAATATTTAATTCATTATTCATACATTAAATTTAGTTTTTCGTGCTGATTTTGACATTTTTTTCATCACTTCCTCTACATTAACTGGTTCTTCTCTATAAATACTTAATAAAACAATTATCAGATTTTCGTAGGGGGGGGGCCGGGCCCCCTATGCCCCCCCCTGGTGCAAGGCACTAGTCATACGTAAATCAGGTGCCATATCAATGATGACCATCTACTACTGTGCCTTTGAAGTGCAAGAACAGGCTGGGTAGGTAAGGAATTAGTCATAGATCCACTTGTATGTAACTTTATAAATTTTTAAGCGAGATTTTGGATCATTTTAGTGCTACGGCTTTGGCTTCACCCCTCTGATCCCCCTGATTCCAGTACCAAAAACTAAAACTCCCACAATCCTTCATTTTCTTCATAACATTCAAAACTCACCCAAGACAATTTTTTCGCCCAATATAAGATAGCTTTTCGTGCTTCTTTTATTGTAAGTTGTACAACAATGTCTCGTGAATATGATTTATTGTAATAAAGAGACTTTATAATATTCCTATTCCTGGTCTTCTTCTTCCTTCATAACGCTTGAGGAAAATATTCATCTTGACTTTGCTGTCAGGTATGCTACATTATGCGATAACTTTCTCATTTTCTTTTGGTCTGTGTGTTGAGGATCTTATTTTTATGATTATTGGGAAAAATTTGTTGGAATGTTTTATTGGTGGAATTTTATTTGAGAGTTTAAGTGGATGGGTGGATATTGATTTTATTGATGGACTTTAAGGTTGGATTGCTAGGTATTTTATAGGATATTTTGATAAATTTTGGAATTACAATTTTTTTCGGTTCAGTCCACAAAAATTATTTTAAAACCTTTTCCCACCCCCAAAAAAAATTTATTACATCCAACTTTAAACATCCATACGACACACCCTGTAATAAATTCATAAATAGCTAATGTGATATATACTTCATCATACATCCATCTCCATTCACCAGACCATGTATGTTGCTCACCTTAATCACAAAGCTTTCAAGACATGACTCGATGCTGAAAAGATGTAATAAATTTTGATCATAAAAATGAAACTTTTCATTTCTTTCTTACTCTTCCTGCTTATTCTGTGAAAATTGAAAGAACGTGAATTTATTTTTATGAAATACAATAA